GGACTTCAACTCCCATAATTCCTCAGGCAGCTTTGCTTGGCAACTTTAAGACTTGTGGACTTCAACTCCCATAATTCCTCAGGCAGCTTTGCTTGGCAACTTTAAGACTTGTGGACTTCAACTCCCATAATTCCTCAGGCAGCTTTGCTTGGCAACTTTAAGACTTGTGGACTTCAACTCCCAGAATTCCTCAGCCAGCTTTGCTTGGCAACTTTAAGACTTGTGGACTTCAACTCCCAGAGTTCCTCAGACAGATTTGCTTGGCCACTTTAAGACTTGTGGACTTCAACTCCCAGAGTTCCTCAGGCAGCTTTGCTTGGCAACTTTAAGACTTGTGGACTTCAACTCCCAGAGTTCCTCAGACAGATTTGCTTGGCCACTTTAAGACTTGTGGACTTCAACTCCCAGAATTCCCCAGCCAGCTTTGCTGCCTGAGGAATTCTGGGAGTTGAAGTCCACAAGTCTTAAAGTTGCCAAGGTTGGAGACCCCTGACCTGGATGACTGAGAATCTCCACATTTGCTAGTCTAATGTGGTTGACAAGCTTCTGTTCAACTATATTCACATGCTCATGCTGCTTCAAGGGGAGGCTTTACCTATGGAGTCTATTTTCTGCGTGATGAGCAAAGTCCGGGCTCCCACCCGCGCAGCCGCAGCAGCAGCCTCCACGCCAGCATGGCCCCCGCCGATGACAATGACGTCATATTTCGACGCGCCGGGCTCTCCTGCCGACGCCCCGCTGCTCCGCGCGCGCTGCAACCGCGACCCGATGACCGCCGGTACCGCGAGGCGGTGCAAGCCGCGGCCGAAGGGCAACATCCGAGAGGAGGAGAAAGGTGAATGAAATCACCGAGGAGGCATCGGGGGAAACCGCGGCAGGAACGGGGTTAAATCGAGAGCCCGGGAACGCCAGCGCCACTTCGTTCGCTGGACGCCGCCATCTTGCCTCTGACGACAGAAGGATTCTACGTCATGGGGGCTTGGGAAGGTTTGCGCGTGCGCACTGGCAAGTGGCTGGGGCACGTGTTGGCGAAACGCCAAAGATTCTGAGCAAGCGAGCAGGATGAAATGTTTGGGCCGGCTTTAACTTGCTCCATGCTGGCTCTGGTCCGTATTTTGAACGATCCAAGTGGTTATTATTTGCATTCGGCACTTTTTGTCAGCCTTAGGCTATCCTAGGGGTTAATTCGGGCTCTTATTGGGTTAGAATTCAATTTAATAGATTTAAAGACGGTGCATTTTCCTGAAAGTTGATGGGAGCTTCCACGCTCCCTTTCAGGAAAATGCAATTTATTTCCAAGCTGGAGGCTCTATTTGAAAACCACAAGACACATCATAATTCCGTTGGCAGACTTCGACGTGGGATTACGGCTCAGGTATAAAACAAGTGGATTTGAGATCCGTTCAGGAGGCTATAATAATTAATAATCAGTCACATTGCTGGGCACTCACTACTGTACAAGAGCCTAACAATCTTCTGCTGTGATGGCACAAAGCCTCAGTACCATAGTAACAGGCATAGAAGTGGAGAGCCTATTGTAGGAAGTTATCACCCAGCCCTCTCCCAGAAAAATGAAATACCCTAGGAAATATTGAAAAGGCAGAATATTTCTCTGGATGTGAAAAG